TGACCAATGGTTTAGCAGAGTAAAGCTAGGCGGAAGTCCAAACAAAGATACAGAGAGAGAGAGAGAGAGAGAGAGCGAGAGAGAGAGAGAGAGAGAAGGCAGAGTTGAGGAGATACCATGTAGCCGCCCAAGAAGCAAGATGTGAGGTAACAAGTCACGAGCTTCATGGTAAAATATAACCTATAGCAATGGGTTAATTTATAGTGAGTGGTAGTCAGTAAGAAGCCTAGTACACTGGGTAGACAACTGGAACTGATAATAAGACTCAAAATGGCTATTTCATAAGTGGCTTCAGGAACAGGTGGGCAGAGAAAAATTGGCCATGGGGGGGGGGATCAGCGGGACAGAGAAGACTTCCAGCCACAGTTGGTGTCCAATGTGGGGCAGGAATTCATGGAAAAGCTACTTGCCTGTGACTTTATAGCCACCAGCACAGGCTGGAGCTGCACTCAGGACTCCTGCCCAGTCTGGCTAGACTTTCTTTCCTTTTTTTTCCCAAGCCTCTGCACGACTTTGGGATTTTCCTATTGTAGTGACTCTGAACAGTCTCCAGCTGCCACTCAAACTCCAGAAGCACCTGGACTTACCCACCCTAGACTGGCTGGCTCTATCTTTAGGCTCTCTACCCTTCCTCTTCTCCTCCCCCACACACATGCTTTTCGCACACAATCTCCTGTGTGTTTTGCAGACAGTCTACTCTCCCTCTCTCTGTATCTTTGTTGGGACTTCCAGCCCAGCTTTATTCTGTTAGCCATTGGCAGAAACAGCTTTATTCATCAACCAATAAAAACTACATATATACTGAAGGACATCCCACATCAGCGATTCCTGTGTGTGCAAGAATGGGCCTCTGATTCTTGTGTCTTTTCCTTCTGTTTGTTTGGTCTAACCCCCATGTGTTACGTTTTGCTTCACCCTATTATATTTTATTATCATCTGTTAGAAGCCTGTTTTCTAATGGGAATGGAAAGGGAGGGGGACCCAGAGGGGACACAGGGTAGGGAGGAACTGGGAGGAGCAGAAGGAAGGGGAAAACATAGTCAGGATAGATTATATGAGAAAAAAATATCTATTTGTAATAAAAAAATACAAAAAAAAAAGGACTATAAAACAAAGGTTTTTTAAACTATTGGTAATACTGCCTAGCAATCTGATAATTAAAATCCAGCTCTGGCCCACTAGCTAAGTGTATGCTGTCACTATTGAGGATCACTGGACGGCACAGACGAACCAGTGTTTGCAGACTACGCAAGGGATGAGCAGACTGGGCAGGTGACAGGAAGAGTCAAAGGAGACCGTGTACAGGCCCACAAGATGGCTCTGTGGGGGTAAGCGCTTGTCATGGTATACCTCACTACCTGAAATCAACTTCTGGTCTCCAAGGGGGAACAAGAGACCACTCTCACAAGCTGCCCCCTGATCTCCACGCCCACACCATGATGTGTGCTCTAGCATGGACACGGCTTGATTCCTTGATGATCTGTGTTAAAGCTCAGTGATGCCTATAAGGCTCTCTGTGGCCAATCAATATTATTGCATTAGGTGAGTCTTAACTTGTTAGGGAATTCTAGACTGCCCCAGATAGGCAGCCACGGTTAGTGTTCTCGGGACACTAACCAAATCTATCAGAAACCATAACTATAGAGAAACGTACAATGTTAAAGCCAGGGAGACTGAAATGTTTAGGGTAGTGGCGGTAGAGGGATTGGGGGGAAGTGTATGTGTGCAGGCACATGAGTGTGCGTGCACGTGCTAGGACAAGAAAAGGGTTCCTATATAGATTGGAATTTTAAGTCAAGGTATATTTCTAGACAAAATACTTTAAACTCGCTTAGAAAGGGAAAATAGCCACATTAAATCTCTTCTTTCTTGACATACTTACACATATAATCAGCTTTTAGAAGTTCTTATTTCTCTTTAATTAACCGTCTGTTATGATACTTAAGCACTAGAAAGGAAAACTTACCGAGAATGACTTAAGTAGGAGGCCTGACGATGAATCTCCTCCGGGTCTATTTCTACAGGGTTCATTATAGCCAGCTGATCAATAGACCACCTAAATTTCCCTGGTGTCTAACGAAAGAAAGTAAACATCTATGTGAAGTCAAATTAAAATAGTTCATCAAAATGCTACCCAATGTTACCTTCAAAAATGCAGATAGCTATAACCAAATAATAAAACCAGATAGTAAAACCAAAATAATAAAAAACAAAACATGAAATTGCATTGAAACTATTGCACCTTACCACTGTGTGCGTATCCACATCCATGCTTATGTGGGTACGAGTGTGTGTGTACACATGCACAAGGAGGCTGCAGGCCAAGCTGGGGCGTTATCCCTCTTGTTACCCGAGACAGGGTCTGTCGCTGACCTTGGTGTATTTATCTAGGCTGGTTAAGCAGTGGGCCTCAAGGACCTGCCTGTATCTACTGCCCCTACAGCAGGACTGTAAACATCCATCACCAGTGGCGTTTGTACATAGCTCTAGGGATCCAGCGCACGCCCTTGTGTTTGCACGGCACATGGCCAGCATGCCACCAGTTGAGCTATCTTCTTTGCCTCCCTTATTTACTAAAAGATGCAAAATTATTATCACGAATCAATTGATACTGGGAGGCCAAATCAGATATGATACCATAGAAACTGTATATGGCTCCTGCACACCTTCTCACGGTCCACGCTGGTATAACCTGTGCAGAAACAGTCACCTGGTGTCTATTAGGGTTACTACTGCCATGATGAGACACCCGGATCAAAAATAAGCTGGGGAGGAAAGCATTTACTCGGCTGACCCTTCCACATCACTATTCACTACCGAAGGAAGTCAGGACAGGAACTCAAACAGGGCAAAAACCAAGAGGCAGGCTGCTGCTTACCAGTTTGCTCAGTCTGCTGAACCCAGAACCACCAGCCCAGGGATGGAACCACCCACAATGGACTGAGCCCTCCCACATCAAGTGCTAATGTGAAAAATGTCCAACAGGTATGACTGGTGCCTAGTCCTATGGAGAGGCATTTTCTCAGCTGAGGCTACCCCCTTTCAACTGGGTCTCTGAGACTCGAGCTTGTGTCAAGCTGACACAGAAGTAACCACCACACCTAGTTTTGCAGTTTTTCTAGGGAAGTCTGGTTAACAAATCACAAGAACGTTGTCAGTAACAAGTAACGGTAAAATCAGCTAAAGTGACGAGGCCTTCTCTAATAACCTAAAGAGCACAGGTCACTTTGTGTATTTCACTATTTTGAAATGGCTCATTTTGTTGGATTTATTCCAGTAGCACAGGAGATGGCTCCCGTTTCTGACAACCTGCAAGCTTTAATAGGGCTTGGAGTTTTTAAATGGCTGGGGAAAAGGAAACAGAAGTCTCAATATTTCGTGCCAGAAAAGTAACATGAAATTCAAATTTCGGTGCCCATAATTCCATACCAGAACACGGCCATATGTATCTCCGCACTGTCCCTGGTTGCTTCTGTTGACCTGAGGGACATGAGTAGTGCAGCTGGGACCAGGTGACTTGCAAAGCCTGTCGGGTTCCTGACTAAAAGTGAGTCGCTTCTGTGTTGGTGTGGGAAGAATTTGTACCAAGAGACCCTAACTGGTCCACCGTATCTGATGCCTGAGAGCATTCATATCCTGCTTTCTGAAAGAACCATGAGAAAAGTAGGTGGCATAGCTTCTGTAAGATACTTACATTTAAAATCATTTACAATTACTTCCATTTAAAACCTCTTGTAAACATTAGCCAGGAAAAACTTACTGGTAGTTTTGTGGCTTTAAAGACAGAAGGACTTGCAAGGGTTTGTTTATGGAGGTCAGAATAATCACTAGGACTTTCAAAGGGATTTAAAACAGGGAGCCTTCCTGGAGTTTCCGGTGTTATTTGCATTTTTAACTCGCTGACATCTCCCATAGCCCAGGAAACAAACTAAAAAAGAAAACAGAAGTATACATATTAAAGTTAGTAAGTATCACAGGTATTAATCCTTACAAAATATACCTAACATTTCACAAAGAGTTCACTCCATACCTAATCATTTTGGAGATAGAGTTTACCAGAGAGCATTCTATACGTTTCCTCAGATGATCTAAAACCCTTGGGACTCACTTGGGAAGCTGGAGTGGTAAGGCATTGGTGCTAACATTTTTCAGAGGCAGGAACACAAACAAGCAGGGCAGTTAAATACACTCCGGTCAACTCTGAGATCTGGCCCAGTGAGAGGCAAGTAAATTACACTAAGCACAAGGACCTTTCCAACCAAACGAATTCTATTCGCCGTTTTCTTTATTCATGATCTCAAGATTAAAGAGCACGAACATCTCCAGACACCCCGGCAATTCTAGACAGAACTGCAATTATTCCTCCTGGCACTTTAGTCCTCACTAGAGCAGAGTGATTGACAGGGTCCAGGTGGGGCTTTAACTAGTTTCCCCGAAGACCTCCACTCCTCCAGCACACAAATCCACAATGCATTCCTTCCCAAGAGGGTTACAGCCAGGGGAAAAAGAAAGAAAAAAAAAAAGGAATTTACTTCTGGCAGATCCAAGTTGAGCCGGCTGCCTCGGGAAAGATCAGAGACGTCACTTCCAGCGACCATTCAAGTTTCCAGGTGCCCCTGTCCCTGCTCCCTTCTTCACCTCTGGGCGAGCGCGCAGGCACGGCCTGAGCCAGGAACCCAGAGGTGTCCAGCTCCAGACAGGGGTTCAGGCCTGAACCTCCACGGAGGACGTGCCTACACCCGCGTGGGGGACGAGGAAGTTGCAGCATGCCCTGCACAGTCCAGCACAGGCGCCGACTCTTTAACTCCCTCCGCGCTGTCTCCGGCCAACCAGGGCACGGGGCGGGGCGAGGCGACAGGCCAATCGCGTCTCGCCGCCGTCCGCGAACCAGCCAATGGCGTCGAGGCGCTGGAGCGAATTCGAACGCTAACTCCTCGCTCGAAGTTCCGCGCTGGGGAACGAGGCTCCAAATTCAAATCAACGCCGCCGTGCGTCGGCGCCCTGCGCGAGGGGGCGGGGCCTGGCCGGCGGGGGCGGGGCCTGGCCGGCGTGAGCGCGGCCGCGCGGTAGAAGTGCGGGCCGGAGAGGCGGGAGCTCCATTTCCGGGTCAGGTCCTCTCCCGCCAGCCCGGGCTTTCTCTCCTCCATGGCCAGTGGCAGCGGCGCGGGTGCGGCGGCCTCGGCCAACCTGAACGCGGTGAGGGAGACCATGGACGGTGAGTACGCTTCGCGCTCGCTTTACCCGGCCCGCGCTTCCCAGCGCCGAGCCCCAGATGGAGGAGTCGTGGAGGGGCCCGGCGGTCCCCGCGTCTAAACCCCCGCGCTGTCCTGCGAGAGGGTGGGGAAAGGGGACCCGCAGCCGCCACCTCGAAGCTGGCGACCCGGTGTCTGGAGCGCTGGCCTCCGCGGTGGCGGAGTTTGGCGCGCGCGCGGCGTTCTGGCCTCGCGGCGGCCCGTTACGCGCCCAGCCCGGGTCCCGGCGACCCGCCCCACGGCGCCGGAGAAGCTGGTGACTGATGTCCCCGGGCGAAGGAAAGGAGTCGTGGACCCTTCAGTCACCCCTCAGCCTCCGGGCCCGGGCATCTCAGTAAGGAGCTCTGTGTTTCCAGCAAATGAGCATATCTCCCCGTCCTCATCTCCCAGCCCTGTCGTAGACCAGGTGACACGGGTGGCCGCAGCTGTGGGTGTGTCCGCACGCACGTGTCCAAGGGTCTCTGAGTTGTCTTCGGTCTCTTGGACCCAACACTCATCTTCATAAACCGTAGTCGTCTTATTTGTAAAATAAAGCTGTAGCTGCGGGGTCTGATGTGGGCTAGGTAAAGTGTGTATCAAAAATGATAAGGTTTGTTATTTGCCTTCTCATTTGCATTAGCTGACATTCTGTTTGCACGTACCTGCCTTCGTTTCCCTGTACTTGCGGTGCTTCAAGTCTGTGTAGGCAGTGGCCTTGGTGGTTTCAAGGGCTTAACCCTCTCAGCGTCTTTCGTAAAAGATAACACAAGGTGATGTCAACCCTACTTCCTTGGTTTCCTTCACTAAATGCCTGCCGTCTTATCTTACCCCTTCGCCTTCTTGGAATGGCCTGCACGGGTCATTGCTTTCATATGCTAGGAATGAAACTGCTAGAATCTTTACATCCACTTTTCTTTCCCACCTAGCTGCTGTTTGCTACATTGCTCCTTTTCTGAAAAGTCTGTTATCCAGCCAGTTTTTCATCCTGTGCATTCCGTGGCTTATTGCTTCTTAAGGTGAATTTATGTAGCCATGGAGTTTATCTGTCTAAACACATCACCATCTTGCCATGGGTGCCATTGGGAGTTTGGGGTGGGGGGTGTTCTGAGAGAGGGTCTTGCTGTGTAGTCTAGGGTGACCTCATTTACATTCCTGATCTTTCTCTTTCTGCCTCTGGTGTGTCCTTGGAATGCGGGTCTCTGGTGCACACCCCTTTGCATCACTGTATTTTGAATTCTGTCTGAAGATAAGGCCTTCCTTCCAGCCAGTTTTCTTTGAAAGGAAGCTTCTGGTGGGACTGCTTGCTGTAAGAATTAAGCTCTGGCATTGGTTGCATCATCACCATCTTTTCTTGAGAGGACTTGGTATAAAATGAAAATTAGAGAACATAAGAACACGTAAAAGTGAGGACCAGAGGTGTTTTTGTTTCTGATGGAGGAGGAGTATGTGTGAGGTTTCATTGCATTTAAATCAGTAGGTGCGAGTCAACATGACATTTTCATGCATTTTGAATCCCATTTCTTTCCTCAGTAGCAGTTTTTCTTCAAGATCTATTGTCTTTTTCATCTTCTCCCTCCTCTCTGTGTTACCTAACAGTGACTTCAGCGTTTGGTGTCAGTGGTTTGCTAGAGTAGTGGGACCCACCCCGTAAAGTCTTCATTACAGTTGTCAAATGAGTAGACTTTGTAAAAGCTAGATCATGCGGGGGGGGGGGGGGGGGGACGGACGGACGGACGGACAGACAGGAAAGCTTTGCAGCTTCGAAAGGAGCCCAGTGTACCCCAGCCCAGACAGAGCGTAAGAGCTATGGGATCAGGCACTCCTCTCACGTCCCTGTTACACAGTCAGCATTCACTTCCAACATTTCCTCCTAAAACAGCCAGATTTCAACTACCTTCTGCTTCCCTTTCAGTGTGGCTCCTCAAATTTTAATTTTACTGCTAGTAGTTATATTTCTGATCATTTTCTTTCCAAAGACTTCAGTGTAGAAGCGAGTTTATGTATCTGGTAGTAAGCTTCCAAAAGCTTCCTCAAGAAAGGTGTTGAGAGCCATCAGACTAGTCAGTGACACTAATGCCATCCATCCCATTGCTCATTCAAGAAGGAAGCCTGGGGTCCCTCTGGTTTTCTTGTGTCGCTCCTGCCTCCTAGTCGCCACAAAGGCCTTACAGTTCCCCACTAATTTGGTATTTGACAGCGTCACTGTTTTCTTCAGTCTAGCCCATTTACCAGTCTTTTCCCAGAATTACAGCAGTGTAGATTGACTCCATATCATATATGGCCCATTCGAAAATTAAACCCATATTTAAACTCAAGTATAAACTCCCATTTTATATCTACCAATAATGCCTGAAACTTCTGAATTCCTTAGTAGGTCTTACTGCATTCACGTGTCTCCTCTGTTTTCTACTCCTTTGTCCCTTCCTAAGCCCACGTTGACACCGGCTGTGCACATTAGTGAGCTGAGAAAGTTCCCTCTGCTCTAGAGCCATCACACAAGGTGTGCTTCCCGCTGCCTCACTTCCTCCTGCCTTGTGGTCTTCTCACACTTAAAGTCAAAGGTTTTACTTCAGACAAGTCTTTCTCAAATACTTCTTTTCTTTTTTCTTGGGGGTGGGGGGCAGGGGTTTTAGACCGGGTTTCTCTGTAGCTTTGGAGCCTGTCCTTGAACTAGCTCTTATAAACCAGGCTGGCCTTGAACTGCCTGCCTCTGCCTCCTAAGTGTTGGGATTAAAGATATGCACCACCACCTCCCAGCCTCAAATACTTCTTTTCAAAATCGGTTAAGTCCCCCTGTCATTCATTTTAGATGTATACTGTTCTCTTATTTTACACAGAGTGTGAATCTAGCCTTCCTAGATCAGATTACCTGAGTCTGTATAAATTAAAGAACGGGGATTTAATGTTTATAGTTCTGGAGGCTAGCAAGTCTAAAGGGGCTATCCCCAGAGGACCTTCTTCTCCTGGGAAAAGAGCACATGTGCCAAAGAAAGGGAGCGGCGGAGTGGGGGGAATGGAGGGGAGTTTATTTTATACCAGAACCTGTCGCACACAATTTTAGATTTTATAAATTTTCTATCTGCCAATAGCTTCTCAAACTTCTGAATTCTTTAATAGGGTCTTCCTGGATTTATCAAAAGTAACCTTGGAATCTATAATGTTTTCTTAAGAAAACAATCAAAGTTAAAGTAAAGAAATTCCATGTGTTAGGGATATAAAAATTAGGAAGTAATGTTGAAGTATAATTATTAAATATAGCCATGTTCAAAAACAAGAAAAGAAAGTCTCCATTGATGAAAAATGGAGATTCTTCCGCATAAGAAAGCCGAAGGGAACGACAGAGGGGTTTTGAGGATAGAGCCCAGGGAAGTGTTGCCTACCAGGCAGAAACGTACCATCTGCTGTGACAGAAATGGAGACACATCATCCGTGTGATCTCTGAGTCTTGTCTTGAGCTAAGATGCTTCTATAAAGCTGCACCCAGAGAGCTCGAGGCCAGGGTGAAAGGTGTGTCAAAGAGCTTGTGAGCAGACGAGTTTCCCACAGGAGTCACAGAGTACCTTAAGTAGATGAAAAAAAGAGAAAAGCTGTAATAGGTAATGGCTAAGCATTTACTGAGTCCTAGTTTATGTTAGGGACCGTTCTAAGTGATTCCTTAGTCCTTACACTAACCCTATAAAAAAGGACTGTTGCCTAATATTTACAGAATGGTAGTAGGCGCAAATTGAGATTGGTTCATTATAAGAATAAAGGTGGAATTTGAACTCAGGTGGTCTGCTCTAGAGAGCTCACTGCTGACCATCCTCCTTCACTCTTGCTATTTTGGAAGTCACAGAGCACTCTCCAGTACACAAACGCCAGAAATAGACCAAATTATGTAAAGGCAGATACAGCAGACAAAAATAGTAAATCATTGGAAGTAAACGTTCAGTTAGAAAGCAAGAACAAGTGATTGTAGCACAAATGATAAAAACGCAGAAACAGAAATTGAGGTTCAACCTGAAAACCAGAAAAGCAAAGCTGCCAGGCCACTAGAGAAGTCTTATCTCTACCAAGACTGAGCAACCATAAAATTAAGCAGACAAGCCTCTCCTACCATTTTATATTCCCTCTAGTGTTGGGATTAAAGGTGTAGGCCACCAGCACCTGGATTTGCTTCTGCATTAATTTTGTGGAGCCCAGGGTAACCTTGACCTCACAAAGATCCATTTGCCTCTGTCTCCCAAATTCTGGATTAAGAATATATGTCACCATTATCTGACCTCTGGTGGCTCTAACTTTGCCTCTGGTCTTCAGGCAAGACTTATTTACTAAAATACAAATACTATACCACTACAAATGATCTGGAGGAAATTGAAGTCTAAAAGCCCAGTCACTAAAATCAGCAGGTAACATGAGTAACACTTATGTCACGGAAGAGCAAAGTATCAGTAGCTGTCAACCCTGAAAAAGTAAAACTGAGTACTTCTGCACAAAATGGAATCGCATACTGAGCATACACTCCTACTTTGACAAAACAAAAGCCCATGCAAAACATACAAAGAGACTGAGTATTAGTCACAGGAAATACACGAAGTGATGCTTCTGTCACCCCAGCTCTGTCTTCAAGCCTCATTGCAGCACAGACACGCCAGGTGGGACCCAGTGGACAATTGGGTTGAGCTAAGGAGCAGTGCAGGAAGAGTTAAAACATGAAGGCGGGGAGGGAGGGAAGAAGAGGGGATACCTGAGAGAGCTGCAGAGGAAATTCTGGAGGTCAGTAGCATAGATCAAAGAGCATTGGCTAGTTAACACATTTACCAACCAGAAAATGGAGGGACAAAATACACAGCATATTAGAGGAACACAACACGATGCTTCTACAGAGCTAAGGACTATGTTGTTCTGTAAGTCAGAATAGAAAAAACAATTTGTGCAATAATTAGCATATTTGAAAAGGGACTTACCTTAGTAGCTTAATCAACTGTTCACTGTAGGACTGTGATTCTGCCCAACTGATTTGAGGATTTAGACCTGAAAGGATCAGTTTCCAGGTAACTATATTTACTATTAGCTCAAGAATATTCATAGGAAGATAAAGATGTCCAGTGCCAACAAAGTAGAATTTCCAGTACCTGGCCACTAATCACTGGGTATGTATGAGTTAGGATGAGAAAAATTCAGACCATAGAAAGAAAGAAAGAAGCCGGGCGGTGGTGGCGCACGCCTTTAATCCCAGCACTTGGGAGGCAGAGGCAGGCGGATCTCTGTGAGTTCGAGACCAGCCTGGTCTACAAGAGCTAGTGCCAGGACAGGCTCCAAAGCCACAGAGAAACCCTGTCTCGAAAAATCAAAAAAAAAAAAAAAAAAAAAAAAAGAAAGAAAGAAAGAAAGCAACCCACAGGCATTAGAATTTAGACTAGAGATTGAGAACTGTGCTCCATATACTAACATAGAATGTATATTTTTAAGATCCACATTGAACTATGAGACATGAAAATAAATAATATGAAAAGTGGAGAAAGTTGCATGTTGACACGAATACTATGGCAGTGTTAGTACTCCGAGTTAGTGAGTGTCTTAAGTGTTGTTTATTTTATGTATCTGCGTGTACGTCTTTATGCCAGAAGAGGGCATCAGATGCCACTACTGCAGATAGTTGTGAGCCACCATGTGCTGCTGGGAATTGATCTTAGGACCTCTGGAAAACCAGCCAGTGCTCTTGACCTCTGAGCCATTTCTCCAGCACATGACTAAGTATTGTTAACTTGTCCATTTCCCCCCAAAATTCCATCCTTTCATGCAGTTCAAGTAGGAAGCCCAATAAATTTTTCATGGAAATTAATGAAAATGTTTGACTTTAACCTGAGAATAAAAAGGCTATTCCTTACTTGAAAGTGGCAGAAGAATATTTAACCTGCTGTGTGCAGTATAAATTAGTAATTAATGATATGGCTATGAAAGAACCATGCTGTGTAGATCTCTGGGAACTTCTTTTTTTTAAATATTTATTTATTTATTATGTATACAATATTCTGTCTGTGTGTACGCCTGCAGGCCAGAAGAGGGCACCAGACCCCATTACAAATGGTTGTGAGCCACCATGTGGTTGCTGGGAATTGAACTCAGGACCTTTGGAAGAGCAGGCAATACTCTTAACCTCTGAGCCATCTCTCCAGCCCCATCTGGGAACTTCTTATGTGGTAAAGGTAGCAATAGCAGTCCAGTGACAAAAGGATGTGTCATTCAATAAATTACATTGTATCTACTGGCTTATTTCTGAGAAAAGGATCTTTTCTTCTATATACACTCCAGGAATCAAATATTTAAATGTTTGTGGAAGGGAGAAAGCAATTCTCAAGTGCTGGATGAGAATAATGATAAATTAACTCTGCATGGGAAATACTATCCTAAGCATGATGCCAGGGGAAAGTATACAGCAGGTAATATGTTATCAGTTGACTTGAATTCTAAACACATTGTGGGAAACACCACAATTTAACAAAGTCAATGGAACTGTCCTGTAAAAAAACGGGTTTCTGGAAAAGCACTTATTTACCTAGTTGCTCAACGCTGCTTCTTTTAATGTCAAAAAGGTACTTCAATGAACTACCACGAAATGAAGGTAAGTATGTGACACTCATATATACCGAGAGGCGAAGCACTCATGCACGTAAAATAAAATGTTTGAAAGTGAAATTAAAGTGTATAAGCTTTTATCAATAAAGTCAACCGATGCAATTACTCTATCCAGTTATTTCGGAAGGTTCTACAGCTTTAAATGCTCTTGTTGCTGAGTAGTTCTTTTAGAATTTGTCTTGGAATATAATTTAGTATATACATATGTATCGCAGTTAATCACAATAGTGTTTCAATGGGGGAAGTGTAGGAGCACCTTAATCTTACAACAACTGAGAAGTTAAGAAGTTGGCATTTCCATGAAAAGGCTGTTATGTAACTATTCTTAAGTTTTTAAAACTGAGACACTGGACTGCAAGATCAAGATGGTTCATTAGGTGATGTCCTGAGTCTGATCTCCAAGACCTATGTGATGGAAGGAGAGACCTGATTCTGTAAGTTCTCCCTCAGACCTCTGTGCACTGTGGCCTATGGAAACCCACACGTAGACACACATGCATTAGTCAGTCAACCAGTAAGTGTAAAAAATAAATAAGCTGAGAAGTACATGCTGTTTCTGAATCCTGAAGTGTTGACTCCTTAACAGATCAATGCCCTGCTCCGCCATCAGAGAGAAGCTTCCTTCTGAAGCAGATGGGAAAAAATAAAAAACACCACAGCCAGTCACTATTCAGAGAGTGAGAGAGCTTGGAACGCTCGGTCCTAAATGCAATGTCTCCAAATCCCTCTCTTCCAAGCTCAAGGAACCCCTTTAAAGAAGAGGCAGAAAGATTGTTCAGAGCCAGAGGGACAGAAGAAACACAAGAAAACAAGGCCCTCTAAATCAACATGCTCAAAGGTCATATGAGCTCAGAGACTGAGGCAACATGCACAGGACCTGCGCAGGCCTATGCCTTGTCCTCTGTGTGCATACCATGGCTTCCAGTTTAGTGTTTCTATGGGACTCCTGAGTGGGTATCTGATTCTTGTGCCTTTTCTTGGGCTTTTTTTCTTCAGTTTGTTTTGTTCAACTCTGATGTGTTAGTTTATATGATATTAATTATATTGTATTATATATATATATATTACCCCTTGTTTTCTAATGAGAATGGAAAGGGAGTGGGATCTAGATGGAAGGGGAAGTGGGGGGAACTGGAAGGAGTGAAGGGAGGGGGAACCGTAATCAGGATATATTGTGTGACAAAAGAATATTAAATATTTTTAAAAGTATGTGAATGGAAACTGATTTTCATGTGAAAGCTATTATATCAAAGTGCTTTTCCCCAAATTCTTTAACTCTGCATTGTTTTTAACTTTTGAAATTAAAATGTCTCTCTTCTTTTCTTTCCTTCATACCTTGCCATGTTCCCCTGTTCTTCAAATTTACGGTCTCAATTTTTTTACTAGTTGTTACTGCATGTGTGTGTGTGTGTTTATACACATATATATGCCTAAAAAAACCCGTTCAGTCCATTAAGAAGTGCTCTATGCATTTTTTTTTTTTTAGTTCTTAAATGCTTTTTAAAAATATGTCTATCTTTTTCAGTTCTGCTTGAGATTTCAAGAATTTTGAATACCGGTTTAGATATGGAAACGCTATCTATTTGTGTACGACTTTGTGAACAAGGAATCAACCCAGAAGCTTTATCGTCTGTTATTAAGGAGCTTCGCAAGGGTTCTGAAGCACTAAAGGTTAGATTTGCATATTAGGGTTTTTTTTGCTTGTTTTCTTTCTTTTTACTCATTTTTGTGTCTTTCATATCATGCATCTGATCCCGCCCATCTTCTGTCCTCTCGCTTCCACCCTCTGCCCCTGCAACCTTCTCCCCCCAAAATAAAGCAAAATTTAAGAGGAAGAAAAAAGAAAGGGAAAATCTCGTCATGGAAGCTGCAGTGTGACAGTGAGTCATGCGGAAAACCCTTTATCTATACAGGCTTCCATGCAGGCCTTCATGGCAAAGAACCATTGATCTGGGCTCTCACGGGGACTTCTGGGCATTCTGTTTCTGCCCTGTGTCATGGTCATGGAGACCCCGCAACCCTGGGTCCGCAGGTCCTCCACTCCCATCCCCATGCTCCAGCAGATCAGAGATGGAGTGGATTTTGGAGTGAGCCAACACATAACCATGGTTCTGGACCTGGGTGGTTGCAGTGTTGGTCAGCCTCACAGCTGGGAATGACTAAGAGGCTATGGGAAAGATGCTAACTGAACCAGTTAACTAACTTAGTCATCAGGAGAAAGTCAAGACCAGAAGCTAAGTTCAGATCACAGAAATTCTGACAGGTCATGTTATCTTTTCTTAGGAATCTGCCCGAATTTTTCTGTGTTGAGTAGAATTGTACCTCCTATGAAAAACTCCAAGTCCTAATCCCTAGTACCAACGAATAACCATATTTGAAAATGGTTTGTTTGTCACAGATTACAATGAGTTCATACTGAGTTAGGGTGGCTTCTAATCCAGCAACTGGGGGTCGTTATTCGATATTTGAATACACATAAACAGAAACAAACATGTGAAGACAGGAGAGAAGGCTGTATGTATGTTGGTCAGGAATCCCACTGACCGTGAATATTGAAACTTCAAGTGATGACGGTTATTGACCAACAGCAAAACAGCTTGTTTTTCAGATTGTTGTTTTTCAGAGCAACTCAGGGGTTTTTATTTTATTACTCTTTGATTGTGAAACCTAACAAAACATACTTACAGGGTAAATATCAATTATAAATATTAAAAGGGCTGGGAAGTCCTTACCACACACAACATCACAGGTGAATTTGATCCCCAGCTGGGTTCAGGAATGCATGTCTTTATTCCTAGAGCTGGGGAGGTGGAGATGGAGGTTCTCTGGGCCAGCTGGCCAGTTAGTGTAGACAAAGCAATAAACTCCAGGTCCACCAAAAGAGTGCTCTCTAAAGCTAAGGTGGAAAGTGTCTGTGGAAGACATCCCGTGTTGACCATACACAGACACGCACACACAGAATTAAATACCATATGATTATCTCTGCCAGCACCTTAGAAAGCCCTGTTCCCGCCACAGGCCTGCTTCTCCTCCGTCTTCCTTCCCCTCTAGTCTCCTGAGTTCTGTAGTAGACATTTACCAGTCTCACTAACTGAACGGGATGTCTAAAAGCTACTATAACTTTGTCAAAATTTTAAGCTTCATTTCAATGGAATTTTACTAAGTGGGTTCTTTCATTTAGTGGCATGTTTTGATGTTTGCTTATGATGAATGTAACTGTGCTATGTTTCTTTTCTTGCAAATAAGTTTGCTTCTACAAATACTACAATTTGCCCTCTCTACTATGAGTAGATACAGAGTTGTTTTCGTTGTAAGACTGTTGTAAATAATGATACTTTGAGCATTGTAGTCCATGTCTCCTCATGCTTACATATGTGCATTTGGTTTAGATATGTACTTAGACATAAAATGATTGGGCTGTAGCCTGTGTGTGTTACCAACTTAATAGATGATTACAGTGCCAAGCTTTCCCAAAGTGGTTGTCTTAATTTATATTTCACCAGTGTCATAGGAGTTTCCTTTGCTTCACGTACATCAGTGTTCATTACTGGGAGTCTTAGTTTCAGCCATTTCTCATCAAGGGGCATGCATGGGTCCTCTCTTTTTATTTGCACTTCTCTGTACCCTTAACATTGAATGCATTTCACAGGGTTTTGCCCAGCTTCCTTTCAATTCATTTCCCTTCTTTGTCTTTTTAAAAACTCAGAATATAGCTTTCACAGCAGAATGAAAAAGAACTGAAAAGGAAGACTAGATGGTGGTTAAGTGAATACTTCCTAGTGCTACAGTAGACATTGGCTCAGGCTGCACTGGCATTCCCCCCCACTCCCCGCATACAGTGGCAGGTACTGCTGTTGCTATTGGTAACATGCTGCCAGGGAAGCAGAAGCTGTAGCAGTGTAGCCCAGCTGTTGAGAGTTCAGGAGTTGACCTGGCTTTTCATTTGCAAAGATTGACAAAGAATATGTAAGCCAGATTTTGTTGTTGGTTTTTTTTTTTTTTTTTGGAGACAGAGTTTCATTATGTATCTGTGGCCTGCATCAGACTCACAGAGATCATCCATCCTACCTCTGCCTCTGGAGTGCCACCATACCTGGCAAAAATATTTAAACTCTGTTCTAACACTTTTGTGTGGTAAGTCTTGGAGAGAAAAGCAAGGAAAACAATGTCTTTTGCCTGTGAGGGAAAAGGTTATACCTTTTATATTATTGCATTATTTATAATTTTCCCAACATTTTACCATATTTTCTTGAAATAACTAAAGGGGAAATTTTAATTAATAAGTAGAAATAGAAGTAAATCATGTATATTTCTAAGATTAAATTTATCATTTTCAGGGCTGTGTGAAATTTTCAGGGTGGTGCATGCCTTTAATCTCAGCATTCGAGGTACAGGCAGGCGGATCTCTGACTTCTAGGCCAGCCTGGTGTACAGACTGAGTTCCAGGACAGCCAGAACTACATAGAGATACCATGTCTCAAAAAGCAAACAAAATTCATCATTTTCATATTGGCATTAAGAAATTGTATAAATAAGTCTCTGTTTCATTTTGTCCCCGGTTTTTTGAAGCAGGGTTTTCTCCCCCATGGAGCAAAGCTGAACTGTAGCTCCAGCTATCCTTTCAGTCATTCCAGAAGTACAATCAGATCAGGTTTTGGTGAATGATCAGACACACCTGGAAGGGGAGGTTACCCAGTATTAGAAAGAAGAAAACCTGAGCATTTTCCTTTATACGCAGATCCTAGCCTATAATATGTGCATGTTAACAGCTGTATGGGGCACTTTATGCTTTAGGAAGGAGACCAAGGAAAATGAGAGAGGACAAAAATGCTGGCAAGGGACAGGTGAGTGTGTGTACATAAAATGCAATTGGTGGTGATATATAAACCCTAGATGAAGGGACGTTCTAACTGTCGTTGATGTATAAAACCCTAAATGAAGGGACGTTCTAACTGTCGTGATGTGTGGAGTTTGGTAGTGATATATAAACCCTAGATGAAGGGACGTTCTAACTGTCGTTGACGTTTGGAGTTTGGGACTGGGAGCGCAAGTGTGATGTCTTTTTCTGAGTTCATTACAATAAAACAATTTTTATCTTTTTAAGTAGATAATATCACAAACAATACCTTTTAGCAAAAGATAAATGAAGAGGGAGATTAAAAACATGTTCACTGTTCTTCTGTTGCTTGTGCTCTGCCTACTTTGTAGCTTAATTAGTCTTTCTCATTTTTAATTCTGTCTCTGCACTGCAATAAAACAAACTAATAAAGATCTTGGAAACAAGGTCATGAGTAGTAGTTTTACATGCTCTCTTTATTATGATGATAGAAATAACTTTGTAATCTAGCAGTGAATTTTAAGAGACAATTTTTTTTTGTTTCGTTTTGTTTTCCAAGACAATGTTTTTCTGTATAACAGTCCTAACTGTCCTGGAACTCACTTTGTAGACCTGGCTGGCCTCGAACTCACAGAAATCCACCTGCCTCTGCCTCCCTTAGGATTAAAGACATGCACCACCACTACCTGGCGAAAGATAGTCTTTATAATACAACAAAAGTAAAAACCGCCATATTTTCCCAATAAAAGCAATTCAGTTTATTTTGGGGAATAGCTAGCTGTTTGTTCAGTATAATATAAAACTGACAGATTTACCCATAGTGTCTCTTCTGAAATCACAAGTCTTGCTTTCTTGTTCTTAGGCTGCCGAAAATACAAGCTGACTTCTGGAGAAGTCCTGAACAGATATGTCAAGCTCTGCAAGACAATTTGAAGATTGCATTGTAGTCAAGATGTACAGTGATATTACTGGTTGCTGTGTAGAAAATGTTTTCTTTTAAAAAGAATTGTAAAGCCATGGCTGTGTAAGTCAGTGGGAGGTGGCTTAAGGGAGAGCTAACAGGCGTGTTTCCATCACAGCCATCTTTTGTTATGCCCCCAATTCCTTGGTGTTGCCGTGCTCCTATTTATGTATTCCTTATTTATAGCTCTGCTAGCTGTAATTTTCTAAACAGGATCTATCAGATGTACACAGCTGCTGTGCCTGGTTGGAGTTGGTGGAACACATCAGAGGTGATGAATAGCAGTTATGACTTGTTGACATTTCCATTATAAACCTTAATTTTGAATTGTTTATGCATAGTAACTGGCTATGTGTTCCATTGGGCTGGAAGTTGATGGGATTTCAGCTGCCATTTATGAACTTGGCTTTTTTGTGTTTCACATCTTGTTTTTTAAAAAAGGATCAAAAGCCTGTCTTCTAATCATCTCAACAGAATATTAATATTTTAAGTAGTGTTTTTGGCAGTTAACCTAACCAAAAGTGTAAAGATCAATTTTTGTATTAATTAAAACTTAGAACTTTTAGAAACTTAGATTTTAAAAGTAATGCCTGGGCTTGACTTAGCATTATCTGTAGTTTTGAACTTTTAAATCTAAAGAGAGTAGCTGAGAGTGCTTTTCTTTCTAAATTTTATACCCAAATGCCTACAAAATAATGTATAAAGTAAAAACAGCAAACATGCAAAAATTTCCTTTTAATTTTATTGCATAAAAATAATAGGAATGCTTACTATTTAATCACGAGTGGCTATTTAATCAGTATATAGGTGGTGTTTTAACAAATTGGTAGGGTGTCCACGTGTTAGTAAAAGCTAATGAAATGTGTACTAGTAATTATGACTGCAGAAAAATTTTGTCATTTATACCATTAAAGCTTAAACTAAATTAAAAATAAATTCAAAGAAATTTTTGATGGTATTGGTTCTGTTCCTGTTACAGAATCTCAGTGGGATATTTTCACAAGCTTAATATGGATTTAATCTGAATTTTTTTATTTCTTAAATTTTAATTTTAGTTCTCTGACATTTAAATGATATACAAGCATTCATTTTTCTGTACCTTTTTTTATAGTTCAAACAAGTAGAAATGGTTTTTAAAAGATTTAATAACCAAGTAGCTACCCTCTCTGCTTCCCTTAAACTAATCTCAACTATTGATCATTATTCCCTTCTACCAGAAGACAGGGCAGAGGAATTGTGCACCGCAGTCTGCCTTGGTCTATATAGGCAACATAACGAGACATGATGTCAACAAACAAAATCTGAGCTTATAGCTATTTTGACTTTAAATGCATGACATCTTTACTGAGTAAATTGAAAGGTCTGTGGTAGGCAGCTCTCCCAAGTTGGGAGACAGAACTTGTGAGAATCGTATGCTTGCTGATGCACGTGATGCATATGATTTATAAAATCAGAAAGTACTTCCTCAAACTCCACAGTTTGTATTTACTTCTAGGACAAAGAGTTGATAGTTTTATTTACGATGTAGATTAAGTTATTTATGTGTGAAACAAAGTAGGAAAATATATTAAGAAAGGATTATGTTTATAGAGAACATGTGTGTCTATTGTTTATAGAGAACTTCGTGTTACATTTTTAAATGTAAACTATATTTTTAATGAGCTCATAAGGAATATTTAAGAGACCAGTGGTACAATGGCAGTATCATGCATGTTGTCAGTGACAAAAATAAAATGATTTTTGCATTATTGGCATGTCCCTTGATATAATATATGCTTCTGTGAGTTCAGTTCGGTTTCTGAAGGTAGTCTATAAATATTAAGGCATTTACTATGTATAAAAATTTTAAGCTAGGTTATATGTATTTACATTATATAAGTACATCTTAAATTAAGCTTTAGGTAGGAGTAGAATTATTTTTTCCTGATAGTGAGAGGTGATAATCATATTAGAATTGACTTGGTTTTAAAACTAAATTGACAATTCAAATAAATGTAATATTAATTGTTTCTTCCCTCTTCACATAAGATAATTACGTGGAAATTATTATAAATTTAATTGTATGTTGTTCATATATGTGACCATTTACTAATAACTGAATCAAATATGTTTCAAACTATTAAGAACTTGATGGCCTTGGTCTCATTGACCATTGTCTATTATAGTGAAAGATAAGATAAAAAATTATGGGTTTTAGTGGTTGAAATTGAGCAGCTTGGTGCCATGAAGAGCCTGCCATTGTTTGTAACTCTGACCGTCCTTAGAGCTTTGCCATCCTCTCAGACTGAAACACTGTGCTAGTCAGTGACTCCCCATCCCTTCCGCTGACCCAGCAAAGCCATTTTCTGCTTTCTGTCCATGAACTTAATTCTAGGCCTCTCCTAGAAGTTGAGTGACTTCGTATTTGCCCATTGAGTCTCAATACCATTGCAGTCAGTGTTTATGCTGTGTTTTCTTTGTTCATTCACCGGCCACCAGGGCTGTTGTGCAGTTTTCTGTTCAGCCTCTCTTACTCTGAGGCACATAATCCACAAATGGAAGGATGGGTTACATACAGTAAGGAGAGACCAGAGAGGAGGATGATAGCAACATAGTCCTCTAAGTGGTCAAATCAGGATAGAACCCAGAGGCATTAGAAAAAGGTGTGGAATTTAGTGGAGCATTATGTGGGAAATGCACTGGGTTTCTAAACATAGAAAACCAAATGGGAACCATGTTTTCTTTAAAAAAATATGTTTTAGCAAAGACCTTAATATATGTATTAAGCTTCATCCTTGCCTACCCTGCAGAGATCTCGCAACTGTGTCTGTTTTTCATTGTGCAGCATTTATGCATTTATGACTATTTTCAAGTATAGAGAGTTTAGTGGTTGTTAATTCCCGTCCACCTCTATTTGAAAAAGTCACACAAGGGCAGGAGTTTTTCTTGATTTTCTTCATTGATGTACCGCTTATATTTTGAGCAGTGCATAAGAAACACAGTAAATGCTCAGTAAATACATGTCAGACTGAATAGATAAACTGGGCATCTAAAAGTGCACCCCCCACCATATGGCTGAAAAATTGTAACTAATGTACAGAGAAATTGCTACTTAAGGCAAAGTCTTGGTATTATAGCACATCTAATTTAATTCTTTGCCTTCCAGTAACTGCAAGGGGTCACCCCTTTAGCCTGTAACAGATAACTCAAGAGACAAGATGTAGCTTAATGAAGCTAAAATACAGAGTAAGAAAGCCAAGATGGGAAGGCAGAAAGCTGGCTGGAGCACCCACAAACCTTGCTTAGTGCTCTCACTGAACAGCCAGCCCTCTTACCGGGTGAGAGACGGGTGCCCATAGCTGTAGTACAATAACAGAGAGGCTTACCTCCCTCAGGCTGCCGAGATGAGTCTACCATGGCTGGTGATGAGCTCATGCATCTCTGTAGCATCTCAGTAGATAACAAAGAAACAAGCTATGCCTGATGGTGTAAGCCTATATCCTGCTACTTGGGAAACTGAGTCAGGAGGATAGCAAGCTCCAGCCTGCCTGCCTGCCTGAACAATTTAGCAAGGCCATTTCTCAAATTTTAAAAAGGAAAGAGGCATTGGGCATTTCGGTGTCAGGCCCTAGGTTCTATCACCAGTACTGCCCGACCTCAGAGAAAGGGAGGACAGCCTGAAACATGATGAATTGCGTTGGATAACAGCAGAACAAATACAGTCAGGGTTGAGTTCGTATATGTCAAGTTAAGTTTTTAAAGTAATCATCTTAAAAAGGTTTAACTCCCAGCTTCAAATGGCAGCGTCAGTCTCTAAAAGTCAGTGTCCATTAGAAGAGAGCAGAATATTGAGGTGTCTTGCGAATGGAGGTGTTGAAAGCAGTCTGTGTTGTCACGTGTGACCCCCGAAAGCAGTAAATCAGATGGACCATGCAGGGCTATATCAGGTAGGCTTTATGGAGGTTTTTCAAATTATACTAGCAGAAAGTAAATAAGACTTGAAAACTATCACCTGTTGGCTATTTTAGAGCGCGGCCTTCCCTCCCTTCTACCAGCAATAGTCGCAGTTATGGCTTACACTTGAATTCGCTGAACATGATACATTGGGGTATTCAAGTAATGTAAGTATATAAAATTTCATATTTAAGTTAATCTGACTTAGTCTAAATACCCAGTCAAACTCGTCTAAAATAGCACCCACTTGAGTGTTAAACCATTCAACAAGAAACAGCTACATGGCTGCTCTAGAATGGACATAATTTTGGGATTCTGTAATTTTAATCTGCATCTGTTAGTTAAAAGGTCTGATTTCTCTCCAGGAAAATCAGGAGCAGCAGAGGTAGCTAACTTGTTTCTGAAGAGATCATTCACAACTCAGACCCCTAGCACTCGTGAAAAGCCAGTTGATATACATGTAACCCATTGCTAAAGGGTGCTCTGGGGTAGAGATGGGCAGAACAGGGCTGGGAGCTTCCTGGCCAGCCAGTCCAGTCTAAGGACAGTCCCCAGGTTCAGTGAGAGACCACGGCTCATAAAGTACAATAGAGGAAGATATATGGTGTCATCTGGCCCCAAATAAGTGTGCACAGGGAAGTGCACCCTGATATGTGTGTGCACACAAGCACAAATAGAGAACCAAGTCACACCTTGACATTACCAGAAGAATGAAAAGAGGATTGCACAGAAAGTAACTTCACTGTGGATTTTTTTTTGGGGGGGGTGCCCATTCTACATGCTTGTAAACCACTAGGATGGTCTCATTTAGATGTGTCTGGGTTTAGGTTCACAGATTCTTTCTAAATCTGCAGGATAAAGATAACACACAGCTCACAGTGTTATGACAATTAAATGAAGATAAAAGTGGATGTTAAATTCATACATGCCACCGGGCACATTATAGGAACTAAATTAATGGAAAATTCTATGTTTTGTGTGAAGGGAACAATTGTAGCAACTCAATTTTAGGAGTGGCCTAGTGATTTGGTGGCATATCCAGTGCATATCCTCTGTTTCCAGGAGCTCCGATTTTATAGGCTCCTTTCCAGAAACAATGTATTTAAATACAAGCATATGCTGTGTTTGTATGGTGACGATCAAGACCCCGTACTAGTAAAGATGGGAGATTAATATGTAGCTGGGTTTTAGTGTCGAGGCTTGCATAGCTAACTAGAGAAAGGGACCCGCGGGGATGAGAATGTGTTGAGAGAAAAAATAACGATTATGAATAAATTTTAAGTCTCTTTTCCACATAAAAAGAGCCCATTGTTCTCAGTTGCCTCTGATGGACCCAACGGGAATATCAGTGATCTTTGTTCTTGTTGAACACGGGGAACCATCATGTAAAAGAGGAGCAAACAGCTGCTAGATGAAAGCTTCCTTGGCAGTCTAGTGATAGAATGCTGTGTGGGAGGAGGGCAGCCTGAGAGAGAGAGCACTCCAAGGTTTCCTTTCAGCTCTTGGATAAACATCATCTCTGCTTTACCTAATAGAAATAGAGGGTTATGCCAACTAAGTCAAAGTTGAGAAAGCAAGAAGAGGTAGAAAGGAAGAGACTGGCACTCACACACAAACGTGTTTTAGAGCCCCCAAATGACTCAGGATTGAGCTGCCTTTATACTGACCTTGCACTTTGACCCCAGGCCCAGCCCCTTAGGGAAAGTTGCCATGGACCCAGCCAGGTGAGGCATCAGCCACTAGCATGACTTCGGTATAAGAGAGCTGATGTGATCTTGTGACCATCACCTGTCACTTTGTCCAATGGAGAGCTTTCAGTTAACGTGGGTACCTAGGTAGCCTAACGTGAGAGAATATGTGGAAGACGATGCTATCTCATCTGGGATTTCTCAAGTCACGCCTTCTCACACTCTGTTCTCATACCATGTTTCCTTATACAGATGTGGAACACACCCGGCAGTCCTAAGATGTTCCTCGTCAGACATTTCTCCTAGTGACTCCACTGATCTCAGTTCAGCCAGCTAGGCAGCCCAGGCTGATGGGAGAGGGGAAGGCTGGTGAGTGGAGGGTGCTTTTAGGTCCCTTGTATCATTGACCTGCTAGATCCAGCACTCTAAGTCATCCAGTGGAAGGTCAGTTCTTCACATCAGCCTGCCTCGTGATCCATGAATAATAGAAGGCAGAAAGAGCACCGCTTTGGCGTTGGCTGCATTTCTGTGTTCTTCTCTCCCACTTCAGATGCAAGTCGTGTCCGTCTCTTGTTCACTCACTTCATGCAGCTCACACCGCTGCTCATCCCTCACTAGCTAGCCAGGTTCATGGGTTCTAGACAAATACCCGGCACAGAAAATAAAGTAGGTGGAGACAAAGTGCTCTTACCATAATGCTTTCAGGAAATCAACTGGAGTGGTCTTTCCTAATATTATCCTAATGCATCTAATTTAATAGAGTGGTTAAATTTTCAACTCGCGTCACCACAGCAGGGATGATTTTTATAACTTTGTCACTCAGAAGAATTACCATTTTATTTCTGTAAGATCTGAAGCATATATGTAAGCTGTAATAAAGCAAATGGGATTGTATATAGCTTTTATAGATTAAATGAACAACTTGAGCTGGGCATGGTGAAATGCGTTAGTAATCCCAATATTTGGAAGGTGGAGGCAGGAGGATGAGAAGTTGGGAGTTATATTTGACTACAAAGTGAGTTCGAGACCAGCCTAGGCTACATAGCACCATTCCAATCATGCATACATCAGTGTGAACGCTGGCTTCTGACAAAAACCAGTCCTTGTCTCTTGAAGATGACCTACCCTC